GGGGGGCCGAGGTGGCAGGTTCCAGAGGCTCAGTTCTAAGGCTGCAGTGCACGGGCTGCACGTTCCAGAGGCTCCCTCCCCAGGCTCCCGCCTGACGCCGGCAAGGCTGCGACAAAGGCGCTGGTAAGGGTTTGAAGGCGCCTGGACGTTGCCTTCGGGACCCTAAAGAAAAGAGGTGCAGGCCGAGGTGGCAGGTTCCAGAGGCCAGTTCTAAGGCTGCAGTGCACGGGCTGCACGTTCCACAGGCTCCCTCCCCAGCGCAGGCAAGGCTGCGGTGCAGGAGTAGGCCAAAGGCGCTGGGGAGGGTTTGAAGCCGGTCCAAAATGCCTAACGTCGCTTTCGGAAGCCCAGAAGAAGAGAAGAGGCAGGCCTGCCAGCTGCCGAGAAGAGTTAGAGAGCGTCCAAAATGCGTAACGTCGCTTTCGGAAGCCCAGAAGAAGAGAAGAGGCAGGCCTGCCAGCTGCCGAGAAGGGTTTGAGGGCTGCCGAGGTGGCAGGTTCCAGAGGCTCAGTTTGCCTAACGTCGCTTTCGGAAGCCCATAAGAAAAGAAGAGGCAGGCCTGCCAGCTGCCGAGAAGGCAAGGCTGCGATGCAGGAGCTGGGAAGGGTTTGAAGGCGCCTGGACGTTGCCTTCGGGACCCCAAAGAAAAGAGGTGCAGGCCGAGGTGGCAGGTTCCAGAGGCTCAGTTCTAAGGCTGTGGCCTGTGCTAAAGCCCACAAAGGTGGAGATGCCAATGCCAAGGTTGCACCCTGCGGTGTTCCAGGCGCCTCCCGCCTAGGCTGCGGCTAGGCTGGGGTCGGCGGACTTGTCTAGGAAGGGAACATTTAGAGCACCAAGACCTTGATGTTGACTGGCTTGTGCAGGGCTAGGATTGGCTCCATCAGGGAGGTCTGCCCAGGTTTTGTTAATGTGCCTGTCCTTCACCATCCGGTTTCTACCCTCACAGCTGTAGATACCGGGAGAGGTCGCATGAAGAGATCGGAAGTTGACTTGGTCCAACCAGGCCAAGTCCATGCTATTCAGCAAGAGCAACGTTGCAAGTTGCAACGCTCATGCAATATCAACTCATGGCTGGCGTTTGCAAAACATGAGCTCCAAGTAGCTTGAGCTCCCCACTGTGCTTGCAACTGGGAATTCGTTCTACAAGTATCACCATGTATCACCTCCTCATAGCATCATAGGCCAACCCTTTTTGACCCCCATGTTCAAGGACAACAGCAACAGTTGCAATCCTTTCAAGCTCTAAGCTCAACTTGTTTTTCTATCAAATTTCTGAGCACCTCCGAGGTGCTCAAGATCTTGGAGGCTGCGCAGGAGAAGCCAAGTCAGAGGCCGTGCGGCCACCACAAAGATAGAAGAAACAAAGCTCAATTAGGCAATTCAGCCACACTCCAATCCAACAGCTGAAAATCAACCTTTGGATGTCTCTGAACAAGTGCCTCTTCTTTGACTCAGATGGTCCTCAAGAGGTCCTCAAGAGGTCTTCAGGTCCAGTTTTGGTGCAGCTATTCCTGTGAGGCCCTTGCAACTTGGACCTGCGACATCGGCTCCCAGCAGCTTGGAGGCGGGGCTTCAGCTTGGAGGGTGAGGTCAAAGCGGATAGCAGACCATGAATAGTTTCTTGGTCCTAGTAGTACGGCCAGGAGCCCCGTTCGTAGCGTCCTTGCTCCTAGTAGCGATGCCAG